GGAGAACCCAGAACCCATAACACAGGCCCTTTTTTTTTTCTTTCTCTCTCTCGGGAGAACCCAGAGACCATCTCCTTGCATCTCATCATCATCACAACCTCCACCTCCGTCACCATCCTCAATCACCACCAAAATAGAAGGAGAGGGGCAGAACCATAGATCCCTCTGTTTTCCATCACCATCGTCACCATCACCACCATCATCATCGTCATCGCCAAGCAGCCCCAAAAAATATATATATATATAAAAGGGTGAAGCAGATCTCGGGGAAAGAGAAGAATTTGGCAGAGGAAGATGGAGAGACAAGAAGAAAAAGGAATATTGAGAGGAAAATGACTTTAAGGTTAAATATGTAATTTTGTTGTTAAAGTTGTTTGGTTACTAAGGGTGTGCACCCCCGGGTGTTGAACCGGAGGGTGCACACAGCATTATCCTTCTTTATTTCCTCTTTAGAGCAGCCAGGAACAGTCATTCCCGAGTCAAAAGAGATACAGTACCATCAAACTTCTTGCACCACCTCTACTCCTCCTTCCTTGCACCAGGAGAGAAATTGAATTGGGGAGGGGGAGGGAAATCCTCCACCAATTGTAACATCTCATCCACAAGCCATGGATCTTCGAACACTGAACAAACATGTGATTATCATCCTCAACATCCCTTTTGCATATGCAACAGATAGTCTCTGCTTCTTCAAGCTGAATGCTTCTCTTGAGAAGACCTGATTTTGTTGGGAGACCATTAAAGAGAAGATGCCAACCAAAGTAACTGATTTTAGTCGGAATCATTCTTTCCAAAGCCTTTTGCATGCTCTTGGCTTCAAAATTCTGCTCTGTCCAACCATCAGTGAGTAAGCCTTGCCGACTATGTATCCATTTGCTGCATCAAAGCTCCAGTTTCTTTGGTCCGGTGGGAGGAGAGCACAATCCTGCCCATGAGGATCTCCTTTAACCTTTGTTCTTTATTCCTTTCCTTGCCAAAAGGTTCACATCTCCAAACATTTTTCCAAATCCAAGAGCCATTAGAAAAAGGGCCCACTTCTTTTGCATAATTTTTGCCAGAAGGATCATTATCGTTCTGTTGTTGCACGCATTTCTTGTTCATCTCGGCTTTCATCTTCGCATTCTCCTTCTTATTTTTCTCCATTATCATATCATCCTCAACGAACCTCAAAATTTATCTTAGGTTTTGGTCCCAATAATCTTTTTCTTATTTGCTTTTTGTTTCTTTTTTTTTTTTTTTTGGTAATAACGACAATAACATTAAAACAAGAACATGATTATATTAGTGGTATCTGGGGAACAA